AGAGCATGTGGTTAGCTTAACTTTGCCTTGGTAACATCCAGCTCTCTGATTTACACAGTCCCCTGCCTACCTCTTTGCCTTGACGCCTTTTACCTCTGTTTTTTCTTTCCATCTTTTTTTAACTCGCTTACTTTACTAATTAGTCTTCGTAACCATGCCCTATGACCTTTTTGACCTTTCTGTACGAATTCAATTTTGTATTTTCTCATTCGTTACTTATATTATGCAATGAGGGGTAGCAGATGTAGAGCTCTCCCGAAATTTCGTGGATCCAATAAATTCTGCTGTTTTTGCCATCTTCAATTTTGCTCCTGGGAAACGTTGCAAAAAGTACTAGTTGTTTGTTAAGAAAGACTAGATTCTCTTAATAATCCTCAAGTGCCGTAGACGTAAAAATTGCTATAAATGAGAACAATCTTATCGTCATTTTAAAGGTTATCGATACCACTTCCTTTATATTAAAAGAACTTTTCTAAAGTCAAAAAAATTGTAAACATATTTTACTATTAAATTAAAATTACCTACAAATGGACCTTTAAATGCCGATCCATTTTCCAGATTTGTCAGTGTCTTCAAGCTTTATTGTACAAATCGAGACTTTGTCCGACGTTTATATCGAAACCTCTAAAGTAAGATATCGGCGAAAAGAATTTACCGAAGAAGTGCATTTTTTGACACAAGTTCGTACCAGGATGGTAATGTGGGCTAAACAGCAAGACACATTGTCGAGCAAAAAGCACTTCCGCAACAAAAGTCTGATATTATTATTCACAAGATTAATAAAAAAACTAACCATAATAGAATAGCTATTTAAAAAGTACTCTGCTTAGATATTGAGCTGACGAAATTCTATGCGCAGGTCTATGACTATGCTACCGTTACCTATGATTATGGATTCCCGACGGAATCCAAAACGTCAGGACAATAAAACTCTTGTTCCAGCGGTCGCATCCTCTTCTTCTAAACTGCTTCCTGGAACTCGCATATTCTCCCCTATTTTAACAACTCTTCTCTGTCTCACTGAAACCTTCTTCTGCTTTTTGCCGTGCAGAGTGATGACACCGATCTTTGGTCACAGCACGAGTCTCACACGAAGGCCCCGCTGGAACAAGGCCATCCTAAGCAGAACGGCGGGCTTTCCACCGTCAGTGAGAAAGAGTTCCTGGAACTGCTATCCAGTACGCCTACTAGGCTGACCAATTCAGGCAAAGCAAAGGTACGCTGCCCAGCAGCCGCCCAGGCGATCGCCAGTGGGAACCCCTTGCCACCCGTCTTCCGGGAACTACTCGATAGAGTGCAGCAGGAACGGTTTCAAGGTACGTGATGACTGTGGAGGAGGAGGAGCCATTTCCCCAGGAAGGACAAGCTGTGGGGACGTCTGCAGGCGCTTGCAACTAACCCTATTTTTTTTAATAGGATAATTAACTGACCAATTAAGTATGAGCCTAGAAGGGTGAAACTTAATAGGTAAGGCGAGTAGAAA